TGAAGCATGTGTTGCTCATCCATTCAGCTGAGAGGTCGACCGAAAGGTCAGAGTTGTTACTTCCGCAGAACCACTGCCATTCCTCGTACATAGTGCACTATTTTGGGGGAGGGGAACACGGCGTTTCATTTAGCAAACCCCAGCTCCAATAAAAAAAACCAATGTCAGCATCTCTTCTAACCATGACTGAAATGTCCTCAATGCCCCACCCATGCAATTTCCATCATGATGTACATGTACTCACAGTCACAGTCCTGGCTACTGCCTCTTAGACCGAAACGGCCGTTTTCGCATCGTTTTCAGCTCGTGTGGAGTTTGCAGTACTGCGTGCGCGTGTCTGACACGTCAGAGGTCAGTGTTTATGTATACATATAATACGTGCTTTACAATGCTTTCAAGTACAAAAAAAGTACACAGAATTAGACTATACAGACGCTTTTATAACTTTACAGCTTAGGTGTTCTGTTTCACAACCAAAAATAAGCAGCTTTTTGGCACTTTACACGGTTTCACATTGTAACATTTATTCATTTGTTTATCTGTCAAAGTGCATACCCATGCAAACAAAAATCAGAAAACAAATTGCGTGTGCCCAATGAGAATAATAATTGAGAAGTGCCATACTCGAGTCTTTAGATATTAAAAGTCTGAAAGTGGTAATATCCCACTTTTGAGCATTGGTCCACTTACCGGCGTTAGAACTGCCAGCGTGTGCTGTCCAATTCTATAAAACAACAGGTTTTCTTCTGAAGCCTATTCGCACCAGTTTCTGTGTGAAAATAAATATGGAATGAGGTAAACAGTTGAAGTTTGACTGTCTGTATGCGGGAGAGACTGCACAGTGTGTGGAACTTGTTATCATTGCTTCACGCGGTGCACTCTCCCCAGCGAGTAAGAAATGCGTTCATCATTGCAAGCGATGGTGTAATCGCTTTCATGGGAAGGTACGTTTGACCTTTTGTATACTGACAGCAATGAATATGAAAGAGCTAGGTTACAGGGGAAAATGCATTACCGTTTGACCTCTCACCCGATACAAATCATGTGTAGTCCGTACTAGTACTGTTCCTGTCTGCAATTTGGACAGTACCATCAAAAACTTTCCAAAGATGTTCTCATACATGTGTCCGTGTACCAGTCAACCAACTGCTATAGCTGGTCTATCTAGTAGTAGGTCGCGTTGTGAAATCTGGACTACATGGACATGAACGGAACAAAGTGCAATGATTGAACAATGAATAGCATACGTACGGCAGACCACCTATTTATAGGGCTCACCTGCCGTCTTGTCTGCTTCGGTAAGTTGCATGAATTGAAAACCCGGTCACCGATGTCTGTACCACACAGGCACAGAACACCATGTAGGTGAGGGTTCCAATGAGTACATCACTACATATACATGTATAATGTAGGAATAACGTGTCGCCAGCTCTACGTTTATTCCGACTGATAATTTGCGGCGTCCGTGCTCTCGCCCATCCGGTGCGAATAGGGAGTGTTTCTCATATTAACGATTCCAATTTTGAGAGATCTTTCGGTCCTATAGACACCAAACTAACTTATGACGCCAAACCAATCCCTCCCGTTTCCAAAATATTCCCTCAATCTGCCGAAATTTTCAGAACACCACTTCTCGTGGATTTTCTTGTATTGTCGTCAATATCTATGTACACAAGCCGTCTAAAATCCTTCTTTTTCCATGCAGATAGCCTGCATGAAGTGGTTTTATAGTTATAAGGCGGGCTGAAGGGCTGGGGGCCACTGAAAAAAAAAACAATTTAATAACAATAAACAATTATAGGCGTTATAATATGCCTCCACAACAGCACAACCATGATCAGGGCAATTGAAGATTCTTTTGCGTTTTACATACAAAATGTACCGTTGTTAAAATAAAACAAAACCTGGGCACACCACCACCCGCATGGATCATAATTCGAAAAAAAATCCCGAATTTTCATTGCCATTGTGAGATTTTAATCTTCATAGTCCATACAGCAAGGACCAAATAAGCACAAGTGCCAAGAAATTCCATGATAATTAACAATACTGTCCCCTGTATCTCTTATGAAATTATAGAATAACAAATGAAATTATGTACGTGTGAGTACAGAAATCCCTATTATCGTTCCGCCGTTTATTGTGTGTGCGACTATTATTTTTTTATGCTTTTATACATGAACAGTTTGACTTTAGTCGATTTAGACTTCAACTTCAATGCACACGTCCAAGGCACGTCATGAACCTATCAAATATTGTGTCAGCCATCCTGGTATAGGGTGTCTCGAATGTTTTGGCCATCATGCCTCATGACAAGTAAAAAAAACCTCACCATAATTTCTTGACTTCACATCGTGAGCAATGTGCATACTTCATTATTGTGCATTTTCTCTTAAATTCCATTGACCTTCCCTTGTTGACGAGCGTTTTTACATCGCACCATCATGTGCCTAATCACGCTCCACGGTCGGACCCGTGCAAATGGTACGCGTACGAGCGCCCTCAGCCATTTCGAAAGTAGACATTTTTATTATTATTGAGTCTTGGATGATAATTGGATGATGCTCCGTAATGTTATTCAACTACTCTTTATTCAAAAATAATACTCAATTTTTCCGACAGTAATTGAGCAAGTGAGAGTTGAACACCAAGTCAGATGCGGACCAGTGCCTCACAAAAACCTGTTTTTGTTTTATTTTTTTTGTGGGTGTGTTTGTGTGGGCCGGAAGTTTTATTTTATGACAAATACACAACAAATCATGCAATTATACTTGAGGTATGGAAAAAATTAACTTGGAGGACAAGAACGGCGCAAGAACATTGCATTTTGATCATGCCTGTACGACGAGACTCCCTTGTGAAGATGCACCCTTTTTAAGTTTGTTTCAAAATTTTCTTGAAACGGTAATGTTGAGACGATGTCCTCAAAAATTATGTGACATGCATGCATGATTATTAGCATTTTGGGGGAGGGCAGACCAATATATCCAGAACAGTTAATCCGACTAGGATGAAACTTGGCATGGAGCCAATTACCAGGATGCCTTGAATTTAAAAATTTGGTGATGTCATCATGATGTCCTCAAATGGAATTTTATGATTTTTTTAATTTTCCTTGTTGTCACATTCTTTTCGACATGTTTCCTGAAACAAAGGTGTTACAAAATTCTTCTTGCAAGACCATGGGTAGCCTGTGTCTAGTGTGGATAGCCTTGTCCAAGGCGGTTTCTGCGCTTTTTGTCGAAGGGAGATCAGTATCGGGCCTCACGCACACACCCAAGCAAACAAGCCACCCGGGCGCGTCTTCTATCCTGGCGCACCAACCTCTTAAGGTACAAGTACCACACGTACTACGGCAATTTACAGTTTAGTGTACTGTACGTGGCGCAATGCAATTCATGCACGTGCGCACATTAGTGCACGCGTGCGGGACCACGCGTGTGTGCGTGGTGTGCAGGCGTGGCATACATAGTGTGGACCTCTGCACAAAAGAAGTCCACATAACGTACATGTAGGGTGTGATGGCGTAGCGTGGACTCGCACACGTCCACAAAATGTTTCCCCCTCTCTGAAAAACAGTTTCAGAGGCATTTTGGGGTCAAGGTTATCTGTGGCAAAATGAAGAGGAACAGTCCAGGAAGTTATCCTAGTTGGAGGAAAAGAAGCATTTTCCTCAAGTTTCCTTAACCACAGGAACAAAGGAATGTCCACACTTTGTGTGTCTAACAGGTATGTGTGACTATGAACACACAACATGTGCAAAGACATGCACGTATGCACAGCACGCAGGCTAGGCCATCACGATCGGATGCACGCACCGTACACGCGAAGAAGGCCAGACTTGCCCCACGCCTTGGTCAAGCCTACCGTGTGGGATGTTTGGAGAATTTCGAGACACCAAGATTCGTCATTCTTTAAATTTTGTAAAATTACCGATTTTTGTGCAAAAGATTTTTGCAATGTTCTTTTATGTACAGGATTTTTAGCAGATGTAAACACGGCAAGGACATTTTTATATTAAAGCTTAGAAACACGAAAAGGTCTCGTTGCAAACAGACATAGAATGTCTCGTTTTTATTACTGCTGTTTCGGTAGCGCAATATCTGTCCAGGTAAACCGCACCATGGACAGATACAAAATGTATGTGAAGGTGCGCACGTGTGAAGACTTTAATATTGGAAACAGGATTACGCTAGTAAACAAATCCTCACATGGTTGCGTCCAAATTATTTGCACTTTCCACAACAAACAAATTCATGTATACATTTGAGTTTGCACCATGTAAAAAATATACATTCTGAATGTTGGACACGTTCATCGTTCGTTGCCGCGTCAGTACAAAGTGACAACACATCAGTTTGAGAAACCAAGATGACGGGAAAGCCTAATTGGATGGGTTTAGCCAACTTTATGCCTACCCGCCTGAGGCAACCTGAGGCAACCCATCCATGTACTATACAGAAATTAATGATTTCTAAAATATCTTTTAGTTATCAACCTTGAAAAAGGCAGTTAGATATTTTAATGAGCTCATGAAAAAAAGAAAAATTCATATTGACAATATTTCAGCTGACATGGTTTCATTTCAACGGAAACAGTAGTTGGAACGGAAACGATAAAACACAGCTACCGCAAAGAGGCTGCTCTCAGAGATTTCACACCAAGTCTGAATACAGCCTGTGGCAGTCTCTGACTAGCGCGATTGCCAACTGGTCCAATGTAATGACCCGTCGAAAAGTCAAAAATCATCATCACAAGTTGGTTTACAGCTTGAGAAGTCACATGGGCGTACTACAAACGGTGCCCGCCGTTTTAAAGACTGGCCAAAGCGGTTGGCATTATTCAGGGCTTCTTTGTATCTTCCGTCACCAATCCCTCAATCGTCACCGACTAAGGAGGTAAAAAAGCCATCCTCGTCCGCTAGGAGTTCCTCGGGGCTACCGAACTCCACCATACGACCCCCGTCCAAGACGATAATCTTGTCGGCGTCTCGGATGGTTGCTATGCGGTGCTTTTATAGAAAACACAACAAAATTCAACAGCGTGAAATAAGCATCTACGTGACATCTTCAGTATTTGTTCCTACTCTTGTTTCTGTTTTTCGTCGAATTAAAACCGATGTCCCCGCTGACGTACATGCTGAAACCAAGAGTACATGTTTAATCCTTTATCGATTTGGAGGATTCTGTGGTTTTTTTCTTACAAGCACAGATTTAACTCTCTTAATTAAAAACTAAATCTAGAATGGAGCGAATGTCTTAGGGTTTTTCTCAAACTTGTCCTTTCCCTTTGTATATTCACAAGTTATCGAACAAACGACACAATGAAACAGTTGAATTCGCCAAACTTTTATCTCATTCCTTATCGTCACAGAGCTCCAATAAACTTACCGCAATAGTTAAAACGGTTCTGTCTGCAAATGCCGTAGCAACAACGGTCTGTAATGTCTTGTCCTGCAAGGCATCATGTACAAAACATTCCAGTTAGTTTTTAGTCACCAAAATGAAGGATAACTAAGCCAGTGACAATGCATTAGCAGATTTACAACATAAACACTCTACTCTTTGAAAACTGTAGCTTTCAAACAACCTCTTAGCTTTCTTACACCTGCTATACCTTTGACGTATTTCTCATCAATTGCCTTTCTCTTGCCAACTTAAACTTGACTAGCTTCAATTGCACTGAACACTTATGAAAGGTTAAGTTTCACCGGATGAAAATTACTGGTTATAACTAACTGACACTGCACTTGATAGTACACAAACCAAAATCACATGACTTATGTCATATGAAAGTATGATGTACCTTTATGCTTTCAAGAGTCAGAATTGTAGCTTCGTCAACGATAAACATAACTTTAAATGACCAAAATGCATTCGATATCTTATCTTAATTATGGAGCTTGTATGAAATTAAAAGAACCTTAAATTTCAGCAAAGGCATCCGGAATGGATGAATTTTAAAGTAAATTACCGTTTCCATGTCTACTGAAGCCGTGGCTTCGTCCATGATGAGGATGCGAGACTTTCTGAGGAAGGCTCGAGCCAGGCAGAACAGCTGCCGCTGACCAACGCTGAAATTCTCACCGCCTTCATTCACCACTGCATCTGTGGGGCGGATTCAAAGGACAAGTCAAAGTCCAACAAATTGTCACAACGACTAACATACATGGCGTGAATGTATCTATCGATTGGACTGTATTGGCTTCACAAAGAGTAGAGATAAACTAGAAATATGGGATGTGAACTCCCAAAACCCTTCACATGTCGCCTTAACAAATTTCATGATGATGTTTTGAGATGTTTTGGATAATTCGACGGTTTATTGCTATTTTCATAAATATCTCAATTGTCATTCTTTTACACAAATTCCACTTTTTACAAGTACAATTTTATTATCCTCCATTTTTTGTGCAAATTCAAAAAAATGCTACAATGTAAAGATTGATCATACAGCGTGTAACTTCACAGATAGATATCCTAGAATCTGGAATAAACCAGTTTCGACAAAAGCATAGTCTTCATTAATTCTTTGTATATCGTGCCAGTTTTATTGACAACGTGTTTCCGAGAGGTTAAGGCAACAAAACGAACAGCAAAAGAGGAAATGTGAGCTTAGCATAATGTTTCCCTCTACCTCTGGTTCTGTTTTTCTTTGCTGCCACTACCGACAAGCGTTTGCAGTTCTAATACCATTCTCAGGTTTTTAAAAACTGATTTCTAAGGTTTTGTGCAGGTACGGCAATTTCCTCACAAACGACTCTTCGCATCTAAAATTTTATTTCTGACTCCTGTCAAACCAAATTAAACAAAACGAACTTCCAGTCTTTAACCTACCGAGTCCCCCGTCCAGTTGTGAGACAACATCTTTTAGCTGTGCGATCTCCAGGGCGTGCCACATTTCGTCGTCTGATACGTTCCGTTCAGGATCCAAATTTGTCCTTACAAAAACAGACTTCAGGTGATTGATTTGCGGTAACAAAAGGCCTAGGGAAAAGTTATCAACCTGAGGACTATGAATGTCCTCTAAGATGGCAAGCAACTGCCAGGATATACACAATGGACACCATATAATGAAAATGATATGTCATTACGCAATGCATCCTGGCATTTCTGAAATGGCACAAGTCATCCTCCGACAGTCCCAAACAACTCGCTTAAATTTGAAAAAGCAGCACCCCTTACAGAAGCATGAAAGAGAAAAAAGATTTGATTGCCATGAAGTGATTTACCTGATAGGTCCAGTAAACAGCACTGGGTCTTGTGGGATGATAGATATTTTGCTCCTGAGTGTAGTCAGAGGCACACTCATGATATTCATACCGTCAATGAATATCTGGCCTGATGGAAACACAATAAAACTACATAATATACCAACTACAGCCCACATTCTAACTACTGTACATCCAAAGTCATATACGGATTAAAAGTGCTATAGTTTCATTTTAAATATCATTCAGTAATATCAATTTTTTTAATAGCTTTAAGACACTAATCGTAACAGTAGTAAAACCCTTTGCTAAATCCTTCCGTGTGAAAAGACGGTGCTGTGAGTAGTTTAACGTTAAGACAAAGATATTACAAACCTTCACCAAGGCCCACTACTGATTTCAAGCGTTCACGACAATGTGTCACACGTCATTAAATTCCAGATGCATAGTCTGCGTACGTTGCAATCTACTCATTACTTTAATGACAGGATACCTTCAAAGATATCAATGATTCTCAGCAATGCCAGGGTCAGGGACGACTTGCCACTTCCAGTTCGGCCACAGATACCGACCTGGAGAAAAGGAACCAAACACAATTGTCAGCTTTCTCCGACTTGGGGACGAGGATATCGCTAATCACAAGACGGGCGAAGCATTCGCTATACGTCTCCTCACCTTCTCCCCCGATTTCAGGTACACTGACACATTCCTGAGCACACCTTCAAGATCTTCTGCATATCGGACTGAGACATTGTCGATGCGTATCTCTCCACTGTGAGGCCATCCGGCTGAAGGTTCGGCACCTGATATCAACAAAGAATACAACAAAATGATTTAAGGCAGAATGTAACGGAAAACTTAGGTGGCTCAGACTACGAACTGTAAAACGGAGATAATCAATTAAAAACGCCATAATTAATTTGTCTGGGACCAATGGTCCTTAGTAGAAACTGTAGCCTTAGGCCTGTACAAGGTGTACAGTGCCATCCATTGAACTGTGAATGCTTACAGCTCAACCTGTATGGTTAAATTCGAGATACGTCTAATGTGGCTTAACAGATCAGCAAATTCCATACATTTAAAGAAACTGATGCGTTACCAGCAAAAGTTACATAAAGATGCGATCATCTTGCCTGAATAGTCCTCCCGGTCCACCTCGCTGTAGAACTGGATTCGCTCCACGGCGTTCATCTGCATCTCCACCTGGGTCCGACCTCTCATGAGATAGTTGAGAAAGTTAGACATCTGCAAATAAGGGAAATGTAAATGTGAATTTGTCACATTAAAGCCTTTTATAAGTCATTAAAGCCATGAGAATACATTTAGTGTGGTTCTTTTTTAATGTAGATCAAGTTCTAAAATGGTAAACCTCCCTTCTATTAGTCTTTAGGGATCAGAAATGACTTTTCTTTATTGCCACTTGACAATAGTCATAAAGTTTTGTATGTCTGATGAGATGCCCTGGTAAACGCTATCTAGGATACTAGATTTTCAAAGTGTTCTAAATGCATTTTACACATTATGCCAACCAAACAGCTGGAATATATAAGTAATGCAGTTTTGGACTGAAAACAAATTAAAGTGCTCACAAAGGCAATGTACGCGTACCTGATAGTCTATACTTGGCAAAATAAAGAAAACTGTTGCAGAAAAAAAGGGAAATGAATAGAACAGTCGCAAAGCACAAAGGTTGAGAACATTTATATTGAAAACAAAACAGGATGACGTGCATAGACTTTGTGCCTTCCCTTGACCACTTCCACGCAAGAAATCGCACAGAAGCCATACCATTTTGGCAGTTTAACCTATACCGTCACCAGTCGTAACCTTACCTGCAGGCTGTAAGCAGAGCTCAGACCCACCAAGCTGGGATTAATACCAAACGAGAGCGCGCCAATTAACGTGGATCCAGTCGAGAGAAGCACAAACAGAACTCCGAGGGCGTCCTGAGTAAAGAATATACGACAACGGAACTTCAATTCCACATGCAATTTAAGTAGACCTTTGCAGTCCAACGTTAAAGGCAATCATGTAAACATCACCGCTTACGCAGAAAACAAAAATCAGTTCTACTTTCACACGCTTAATATGAATGTAAATGGGACTGCAGAAAGACTAGCTCTACTTAATAGATGCAAATTAAGGTGTAAAAATTTTAATTTCTTGTTGTAACTTAGATTCAATTAGGGAATAAATATGTGCTTGGCCGGTCTTAAACAAACGTTTAAACGTGCGTTTAAGACCAACTCAGGAGAATGGAATGCGACTAATACTCGAGCCGCAGGCGAGGGTTTTACCAGCCTTCATTCTCATTAGTTGCTCTTAGACCGCCCAAGCACATTATTTATTACCGTTCATAAATACCATTTTAGTCAGAGAGTCAAAAGAAGTCATATACAATAAATTTCTAAGGATTTTGTTCAGGAATTTTACTTTCAATATCTCCAACACCCCGTCCATTTCATGATATATCTCTTGTGCAAGTAATCCAGCGGAATATCCTTTCGTGGACTTGGCACACGTGTGGTGAGTTCTGCGTGCTGCGGCGCACAGACTCTTTACCCAAAAGTACTGATTAAACTGTCTAGTGCCAGCGCGTTTTCATGCAGCGAGCATTATCAAATCGAAGCGGGCATTATCAACTGTTGACACAAGGTCATGTTGCGCGTTGTTGAATAGGGAAACTGTCTTAGGTATTTAGGAGTAATAACTTAACTTAAGCTTCATCGCAGTTACATGAAGTCGATCACCATAATATATTATATTCATTCCAATTATCTCTGTGCAAGGGCACATCCAAGCTTTCATTTGCAGTGATGCAGGTTTATTGGTGGAAATCAATGCCAGCCTGCGTTTTCAAGTTGCAATGAGACTAGGAACATAATAACTGTAACCAAGGCAAAATTTGTCCTCTGAAAACACTTACAAGCCGAACTGCAAGCCATCTTGCCCCAATCTGCACATAAAGGAACGCCGCGGTGTTTCTGTCGATTCGAGCGAGGATGGTGTTGTAAAATCTATTCTCGCATCTGTAAGAAAAAAAGAGAATAATAAGACCATAAACAGTGGCCATTTTGTCAACAAGTTGGGAGATTAGTTTCAAAAAAGTGAAATTTAAGTATTTAATTTTTAAAAAAGAGTGACATTTCAAATCTAGACATGAGGAACTTGGACTCAATAGTTCAATGTCTGAAGTACAAAAACGTAATTGTGGCACACATGTATAAACAACACGTTGATACAATACCGGAAGTTATTATTTTATTATGTACAATGTTAATCAAATAATTCAAAACAAAGTTATCTACTCGACCTATTTCCACTGTTACTTAGCGCTTTCATTTCGCTTATGATATACGAAACCTATAAATAACCCAGAAGAAAACCCTCAGAAAATGGCAGATGCTTTAAACGCAAGACCACGAGCTCGTACCTGTAAGCTCGGATTGTGGTCAGTCCACCGAGACTCTCCGAGAAGTAGGCAAAGACGGGAGATTTGCTGATGCTCTCCAGTCGTTGAAGCTCTCTGGGTACAGAAATCAACACAGTCCAATTACTTTTCGCCAGGCGCGGTTCTCCACAGTGGCAGTACATTTAAGCTATACTTCCTTTTGGGTATGGTTTTCCCCAATCCATCAGCCAAAATGCGTGCCCTCTCATAAAACAACTCCATTAGAATTTGTAGCTTATTTGACCATATTTCAGGTATCTTTTCCTCCATATCTTTTCGCTCTTTGCTCAGATCACGATGTAACGCTCTCTCCCTTCATACCATTTTCTTTCTGAGAACAAATGGCTGCAAAGTCTCGCATTATCGCTTTTGCAAAGGTGACTTGAAGGCTGTGTCTATATGGCGTCGTCAGTGCGCCGAGCTATGAATAACCGTACACGCATAGGGAGTTGGTGTCACATCAGACCAATTCGACCCCCACTGCAAGGCATCGAAACTATCCCACTGAAAGAATCAAGCTCTGAAAAAGTTATAATTTTCAAATGAACATCATGCACAAAGAATTAATATCAGCCCTATGATAGTTGCAAGTATTTGGCTACTGCAACTCGAGGGAGGTAGGAGCAGGCTGTGCACACACATTGTTGAAGAAAAAGTACTGCATTATTGTAACTTACCTGGAGGTGGCTAAGTAGAACCTCTGCAGTATGTAATACACAATGGCTATTGGGATGACAAACACAAGGAAGATGGGCATGACCACGCCCACTACAACCACGGACGCTATAATCTGCATGATGCTGATGACGAAAAAGTTGTACGTGTCCGGTAGTCTCTGGTTAAAGGGCGTGAGAAAAAAACATTGAAATATGCTATGCATGTTCAGTTTTAGCACACTATTTTGTACCATGCAGTCTCTGTCGGGAACTTTGTTCCTTCAAAATAAGATCTGAAGGTTTGCATGGTGGGTATGCGTATCGCAGGTGGTTTGCAGTGACACCATGTAGCTTGAGAAATCGATCATTTGGTGAGCACGTGTGGCTCCTTTTGGAGTTACCAGCTTTTTTTGGAGCCACGCATGCTCACAAGGAGATCAATCTTTCAAACTACATGGCATCACCGCAAACCCTTGCCATACTTTTTTGTACATTCGTCAAACTTTAAACTTAAAAAACTTAAATAAAAGTCCTTTCTTCTATTTTCTCTATTATAGTGTAAATTAAGCCAATACTGATGTTAAGAAAACCCTCTTATGGCGTTTTCCATGCATGCTTGCACGCCAAATTAGTTTCAAATAGCAGTGTGAATGCACATAAATTCATTCAATCGTTAAACAGAATCTCATTTCTAGTAATCATCAGAATTGAAATTGACTTGGAGTTAAAGGGCACGGGGCTCATACATTCATTCTTTTTTTCTTTTCATTTTTTACTGGTTTTAGGGGCAGAGTGGAGCCATATTCGCTTTTGTGCTACTGCCGATTTGCACATTCTAGAAATAAAAGTGACGTCATTTCGGGAAAAGAGTTGACATACTAACGCACGGATTGCCAATAGATTGAGTACTTAGCTCTCTGAAACGTTCGTCTCTTTGGTAATTCGTTGCTGTTTGAATTGAAGAGAGTAGGCCCTTCAATAATCACTAAATCAATCACTAATCAATAAACACTAGAAAAGTGTTTAAAAATATACCCTTCAAATATATTCACTAAAATCGAATGTTTAGTAGTTTTCTGAGTAGAAATTGTCACAAATGTCTATAGGTACAACCCGTATTATGGGCTCGTAGAACTTGGGAGAACACATTTCGGCTGAAAAAAAGTACAGCTGTACGTGTAAATCAATCGGGTTTCAAAACTTTAAAAAATAACCAGTATAGTCAAATAAAATAGAGGGAAATTTCTCCATTGCAGAGGTAAGGCTTTACAAACAACAGGACAAAAGTTTAAATCCTACAAATGCATTTACACATTTTCTGGACTTTAATACTCACAAAATCCATCATCTGAATGTCATTAGAAAATCGATTGAGGATCTGTCCAACGAGAGTAGTGTCAAAAAACCTGACCAAAAAAACAAAACAAAAAGCAAAGCACAAGAGGACAATTAGAAATTGTAGTCTTGCAGACGAAAGCCTTAGTGAATATGGCTGTGAATAAGGGGGTTTCTTCACCCCCCCTTCATTGTCTTCTTCACTCATTATCATCCTGTAATTGGCGCTAAATTTGCTGTTGGATGAACTGATAGATAGATATATTGGGGGAAATTTCATTTTCGTTTCGGGGGGCATTTCATATTTCCATAGTTGGGAATGTTGTGCAAATTTAATTTCAATTCAGTGTCTGCATAGAAATGGGTATGTCCTGTGTAAGATGATCGTACGTTATTGTTTGCCACCATTTAGTAATCCTTCCTGCAACGTGAACCTATGTGGCATAGACAAAAGAAGCTACTGCACACCAACGTTAATCTGGGAGTCTTAATTTGTGCAGTACCTCATTGGTGCTCGTATGATATTCCTCAGCATTCTCAGGTGTAAGCGCTTGGCGGCGACCATGAATGACAGAATCATTATAGCGGTTGATAGTGCTTGACTTAGTGCCGCCGCGACGGACAGGCATGCGTAGCCAACAAGATACTCGGTGTAAGTTCTTGCAGTCTGAAAATAGAAGATGAGAACTGACTACACTACTCTCTGTAGAGTAAAATATGATATTTCAGTCTTGGAATAGAAGGGTTTCGTGTTACATGCAAGAATTTCGAGAAATTAAAGCAGTTTCAATGTTCAAGTATTCTTCGCGAACTAGGGTATCACTAGGCTGGCGCAATATTGAACATAATATTAACTTGTTGAAAAAATTTTTCTTCGGAATGATTTTTCTCTAACCTCGTTGGATAAGCCAGCTTCTGACCATTCAGAGAGCCAGAAGTTGGTTGTAACAGACAATGATGTTTGTAGTGCCCCAACCACTCCAACTAAGAGGATTAAACCCCAGCCAACGCTCCCTAGCAGGTACAGGTACGTCTTGTAAGACACCGATCCGCGCACCATTTCTTCCTTCTCTATCAGCTGTCCATCCCCTTTTGCAATTTCTTGAGATAGAACACAATAAAGGCAAGACAATTAACACTTTGCTTCAATTGGAACGCTTCAAGTTTATGAGAATTGACAACGTTCCATTAATTCTTGATAGCGTGAAGGATATGATAACAACCTAAACTTGAATGAGATTTTTTTCGTTTTTAAAACATTTGCGTGTTTGGGGATGAGTCTTTTTATAAGGCAAGATACACAGTTTTGTTACATAAATTCGGAATCAGAATCAAACACAACGTCGTTTCAATGATGACATTTTGATGGAATTTTGCTCTTTTACTCACACTACAGCTGAGGGTCTATTTCGCGTTTGCAGTTGAAAATCAAAGGAAAATTGAATTTTATTCCTAAAATAAATAGACCATACTTTTGTGATGGAAATCAAAAGCTTCAATAATAAATGCAATGAACCTGCTGATGTAAGGGAAACGTTTCGTTTCAACTTAGAGCGTTCTTCTTCAGCACTCTCGGCCTGATCATTATCCCATCCCGCTGCTGACACCTGTTTGATCTCCTCATACATCTCGGGATCTGCCTTAATGATGTCGTTCAAACTCCCACTAGCGGCAATGGTGCCATCTTTCATCTCAAGTATCTGAAAGCATGCAAGCATACAAGTACTTAATGGACGAAACTCTCTATGACACCTTGAGAATCGATGATGTACTACAAAGGTTGAAAGTTACATATTAATCATTGAAAGTACAGTTCGTCGGACTGAAATGAAACGACATTTCTACTTGTCATAAGATAGATTGCCAGCAAATTATCTTTTCCAAAGTAGAAAGAAGTTTTATTTTGTCCGTATGAATTTTCCAGTTACTGCGTACAAGATATTTCAGTTTTGAAGTAACTACTGATTTCCTTCATTTTTCAAAAATAAGATGAAATAAGTAACACACAATCTATGATGCTCCTGGTTGTACATCGTCATTTCATTTTAGGGTTAGCTTTCTTTCTTTGTGAGGATTTGCAGCTAAGGTTACACATACTGAACTGTTGACCTCTTACCAAGTCAGCTCTACTGAGATACTGCAGTTGGTGGGTCACCAGAATGACAGTTTTGTTATTATTGACGAGTTGTTTCATGATGCCTTCTTCGAACAGTTGACGTCCGACATGCACGTCTAACGCCGAAAGCGGGTCGTCCTATATATTACATTTGATGCAAATTGATATAAAAGCAAATTACAAACAAGCAATTAGCAAACTACTCCAAGAAAGTGAAATACGTCAATAATACAAGTGGTATTTTTACATTGACAAAGAATTAGAACACACTACGAAGAATTGTTACTAAATTTTCCGTCCATGTTCGCTGCTTTACTGTTACCAAACTGTTTCTAAATTCAGCGAATTGAATCAATTTACCAAAATGACGATGTCGCTGTCAGCGTATACCGCTCGCGCTACACTGACACGTTGCTTTTGACCTCCGCTCAAGTTGATACCTTTCTCGCCAATCTCAGTCTTGTCTCCGGCCGGTAAAATGTCAATATCTGGCAGAAGTGCACACGCACCTAAAACTCCGTGATACCTGCACATTGGAAGCAATGTTAAATGCCTTGACGATGCAGTTCTAAATATACAGACAAGAAATAAGGCTCCATTGCTGACAACTCCTTATAAATTACTTCCCATCTACAGCACTGATAAATTAAAGCACTTCTTGAGCTTTTCAAAAACCCTTATGATTCACTATCAAAATCACAAGGTTTCCATGTACTTTTTTCTCTCATTTTCTCACTGGAAGAAAAAGGCATAGACGGAACAACATAACAAAAACACCCATAATGCCAAGCAAACCAGCTCGAAAACTTCTTTTTTTCTTCTTTTGTGCCCATGACCCAACATAATGACGCAGAAGCTGGTACGTAATTCAGGCAATACCATAATATATTTTGGCCTGGTTCCAAACAGGGTTTTTTCCTCTGAAATTTAAAAAGCCTCGTTTGCTAACAGCGAAGGTTAGTTGGACCGGGTGCGAGAGTTACTTGCTGACATGAAATTCAGACTAATGACTTAACCTACTCACACTGGATGACCTGTAATGGGCCAGAACACTAGCATAAGTATTTTCAGTAAAATAATTCTTTAAAATGAAAAAAAAACAAAGTAAAAAGCCTGTGCACACCGTTTGTTATCCATCTTTGATGAAAACAGGATGTTGTCTCGCAGAGAAGCATTCATTAGCCAAGGCCTCTGTGCTGCAAATGCAATACGCCCTTTTTCTCTGAGTCATAAACACAAAAGAAAAGAGATTAAGCACCCAATTTATAGAAAATTGATCTGTTCAACAATGCAGATATTTATTCAGCAGTGTTACGCATTGTAGCCTATTTACGGAGAACAAGTAGATGTGTAACTATGATTTTAAAAGGGAAGGTTAAGAGATTTTCCTCATATGTCCTACATTTAATATTCCAAGCGTACTTCAATGATTTGCTTTCATAAAAAGATTCACATCAAAACAGCCAGAAAACACATTAAGGCCCACGAAATCTCCAGTATATAAGGAAATTACAGGACTGAAAAGAAAAAGGTATACTCACTAGCCAATTTAATATTAGACGCTAGCATCTGCAAACGTCTTTGGGATGTCGTATTTCAACAATGGTAAATTCCCACAGAGAAATATTCAAAGGCACATGTACTTACCCATTGATGTAAACATTCCCAGAGATTGTCGTCATTTCATTTAAGATAGAAGCTAAAAGAGATGACTTTCCGCTTCCAACCGCGCCAATCACCATGGTCAATTTGCCTGCACCAGATTGTTTTAATATGGAATCGACAAGAAAATTCAACGTCATCGGAAAATTGTATTTAAAAAAATTACGAAAACGAGATGTGTCTGTACAGGACCTCTCGTTAGACAAATGTAGTTAGTATTCCCTTTCGGTGAAAAAACCTCTGTTAGGAAATTATCCGAGACGTATTTCATTCAGTTAAATTGAGTGGCTTTTTCCTATAATAATTGCTGACTAATAGTTTCATCTCTATGTGTAAAATAACACGTCACAAAGCGAAAGTAAATAAAAGCAAAGTCCTTATTTTCACCAAAGACACATCGTAGATGTGTGATAATCCACCTAATTCGAAACAAATTTGAAACTGAAACGAATCTTCCTCCCTTGTACTCAATTTGCAACTTTTCCTACCAGCTGGTATTTGCACGTTCACGTCGGACAAAGTAGGTGAAGTACTTTCTGGATCCCACGCGAAATTGCCACCCGTGATCTGCATTTAAAGTTTGTACAGTTTCATTAGGAAGTTTGAAATCCAAGTTTGTACCATAACCTTTCATTCAAAACAATGTACCAAATCGTGAACCCTAATAATACTGCATTTAAGCCCTACACGGGCGGCGCACGGTTCCAGAGGGTGTTTTAAATAAAAGCCAAAATGTAAGCAGCAATACAGGTACATTTTAGGTGCAAAATAAATATTTCATATAATGTTTGTCTATATTTTGTCTCCAATTTACTACATTTCAGTCTCTATAAATAGTCGCCGAACGGACATTATGCTGACGGGAACTTAGAAAGCACTGCATGTTGAAATGTTCTACTGAAAGCGAAAGTAGTGATTTTTAGTAATGTTTAATTAAAAAAAGTCTTGCAAAACAGAGATTATAAACGACAGCAATCTTTCCACTCAGTGCTTTTATTATGGGGATATGCACAAGAGGTCTGCTCGTGTATCCCTATAGAGTACTGAAGTGTGACGTCATTTTGAACCATAAAGTACAGTGCAAAGGAATGGGGTACGAGCACTTGTTGGTTCACTTGCTGGTTCTGGTGCTGCTGTCTTTCACACAATAGAGTTTTAGTTGCACGTTCTGCGTGAACGCAAATGCGAAGAAGTGTGGACTCCTGCTTTGTGCATATTGTCTCTCACGTCTGGGGTAGTTCGCACAGACGTCCAATACGTATAACATGGGAAGTTCAAGTTGGATCAAAACGTGAGAAACTGCAACTTTTTTGGAAGGTTTAAAACTATGCGGTGAACATTTGCTGATATGAAATGGACATCTTTGGAAAGTGCAAAGGTTATGCAATTGGGATTTTTTCATGCTTGGTATGTGATGACCGATTACACTTCTTTTGAGAGATTTACCGGATGTGATTGATCATTTGTCCCTTTATTCGAGTATTCATTGGAAGATGTACATTTTGTGCGGAACGTGCATCTAAACGTTCAAACTGGAATTTGACGCCCGCACAACTGTGCGCGATAAAAAAAATTGTCACGTTCACGTAATACGTGCATCTAAACCTCCTTACTAATTGTGCGCGTGACCTATTCACCGTGAACAAACGGAGTACGCACGCGTGTTGGTTCACGCGCTGTTTCTCGCTGTAATACCTTTTACACGGAATTATGCGTGTGACGTATTCATTTCGGTATGGAACAAAACACTGACCAGGAAGATGGCCGCCATGCATAACCTCTATTCATGAAAAGGCGTTAATATTCTTGTATAGCATCCGATATGCCGCACTCTTTGAAAGCCCGACTCTCATTTTTATTATCGTTTCTTAGTGGAAATCACATTTTTGATTCATTTTTGGAGCAAATTATTTTACAGTGGAGGTGGCCTAAAACCGTGTTGAAAAAAGCGCACCCATAATGTAATGTTTCAAATTCAGTGTAAAAAGAAATCTAACAGTCTTACCACAACGTCGTTTCCTCAGAGATTCTAATTCGTGTATTACAAATGCCCTATCAAACTGCCTTACCTTAATGGCTATGCCTTGGTCTGAATTGCTCGTGGAAGCGTCAGGCAAATCTTTGCCCCGTGAAAGCGAGATGCTACTCAACATCAGCGCTCTCTCGGTGTCATCACTCTGATCATCTGAGTCGTCGGCCTGGGCGCCAATGGAGACCGTTGGCTCGCTCAATGCCTCGTCCAATTTGCGAAATACTACCCGGCTACTATCACTGTACCCCTGTAATCAGAATACATAGATTCTCCATTATGCAGGTCCTTCCTGAAACTTTGCACAATTCTGATCGCTGAAGATGAAAACATTCATGCACCAACGGTTGCCATGTCGCGGACGCCGGGCATCTGTTGATTATAAATGACTGTTGCGTTCTGACATAAAACTGAGTTGAATAGGTTTAAGTAATGGTAGTGACAGCATAGATTGAAAAACAAGATATATGGACTTAATGTGATTTCTTGACAAAGATTTGGTAACCAGGTATGAGGTAGTAATCGTATGAGCGACAGGTAGTTGCAATTTGTGTATAAAACATGTTGTATACAATGTACTTCAGGAACTGCTAACGACATCAAACTGAGCTGAATAGATTTAGTAACGGTAGAGACAGCACGGATCGAAAAAAAGATGCATCACTTTAATGTGCTCTCTTGATAAAGGTATGTTACATAGGAATGAGGTAGTATTCGTATGAGCAGCAGGTAGTCGCACTTTGTTCAAAATACATTTTGTATGTCGCACAATACTTCAGGAACTGCAGTAGGCCTACATCTCATCTTCCCGTAAACCAGACGGTATAGTATGTGCATACACACACCAAGCCATGAAGATATCACATTCAAATGTACAATTCGCCCCACGTAGGGAAAATCAAAGCAATAAAAAAATTACAGACAAGGTGGACGCTTTCAGTTGCTTTGCATGCTCAAAGGTTTATCCACAATAATTCCATAACTTAAATTGCAGAATGGGGTTTTGGTTACAGATTACCGTGCATTTATTTGTAGATGATGTTTCTGAAAAGAAAGTCCACTCTTGTGCGCACAGAGAGTTAAAATAACCATCTAGTTTTCCGTTTACATCCAACCACGACTCCTGCTTAATTACCTTCTTCTCTTTACACTGGACTTTTCCTTCGGTGTCCATTGGCAGAGCACGGTCCCCCTTTACTTCAGGCGCCAAGAGAAATTTTATAATACGCTTGGAACTAACAAACGAGCCCACAACAGATGACACCGACGCAGGCATCACCAAGAGAGGGATCGCGATCAAATTAAATAAGGACAGAGAGGAGAATGTGATATCAGGCGTCAATGGTTGCCCCGAGAGTGGCTCAAATGTTATAAACGCCTGGGGAGTTAAAACAGAGATTCAAACAAAATTTCAATCAATAGATACGAGCTGTTAATAAGAAATAATGTCGAGACTATCATCTGTCCACCACTACTCATTTGACAAAGTCAGATAGAGGAACGCTAACGCTTTCCAAAGTCAATTTCTATACCTCAGTGCTCTGCTAAAACGGGAATCTAATAATTAGGGAGTTTCCAAGTGAATCAACAACAGAAAACGGGTGCTTTACTTACGACCAACGTGACCAAGACTGGGACGCCAAAAGTAAAAGACACTGCAACAAACAAGAAAAATCTTGGCGTCGACTTTCGTTTTTTAGAAAAAGATACTATAACTTCGAATCTGTGAATTAAAACCAAGAAAGCCCAACAAACGTCTATTTGGCAAATCAATAATAACTTATACGACATACGACGTTGGGAATTAATTACTTCCACTTTTGGGGGGAAAATGGAAAAATCCTACACAATCAAAATCCTAAAAAAAAGCAAAGTTACGAAATGAAAAGAAAGCTAGTCATGCTGATTTATAAACTTTTGATAAGCTGTGTGATTTTTAAAAATTCGGTAAAAATTATGTAATCGAAGACAATGAGGCATATATACTTCAATTTTCGTTGAAACCTCGTCAGCGCGTTTTGCTATTTTGCCAACAGGTTGGCCTTAACGCACGTCATCCGTTTAGCTTACCTGAAGTTATCAGGCACAGATTGATATAAAGTAAGTTGCGTATTTCTTCCTTCCGAACTACCTCTATTGCCTTGCTGTACAATTCCTCCCACGCATACATCTTCAGTAGTTTAATTCCTTGCAGCAGCTCGTTGGTCAGCTTCAAACGTTTGTCGGAGCAACGCTGCAACGAGCATTGCATACCAGGACTCTAAAGTGCTTATCTGGATGTTTCGAGGGTGGTTTGTTTCAGTCAACCACCTTCAACCTATCGAGACTCCAGATTTGTAATCTCGTTAATTTGAAGTAGATTAAGCCACTCAAATCACAAGACTGATAACTTTTGATCCCCGCTCCACAGCTTTCCGGATTAAAATGAAAAAAACAGAGAAGTATCACTTGGAAACTTCACTTCCCATCTATTGGGAAGTTCACAAAAGTGGGGGGGAAAACTGTTCGGGAAAGTTTTCACTTTTCCTTTGCTTTGTTTTGATACCAATTAAACCACTTACTAGAATAGCCTTCTGTTTGTCGACCATGATGGCTGCAACTTTAAACTGAATCGGAAGAACAACTATGAACAAGGCCGCTCCAAGCAACGCCGAAAACCCAATTTCAAAGTACAGGAAGATGAGGATGATGGCAATCTAAAATGATAAACAACATGCTTCAGAAGTCTGAAAATACTATATCGCTGTTCGATAAAAAGTTTTAGACCCATTGCGTATTATTGGCATCGACACATGTTACTGATCGGCATAGCACATTACCTGGAATGGAGCAGACCACAGGAAGTGCATGGACTGTATCATGGTCATGACGTTGGTGGCGTCGGCTGACATGTGGTTGGTGATTTGACCCATGGTCATTTGGCCCCCAGTGGTAGCAAAAGTGGCCAGTCGCAAAGCCTTCGTATAAATCATGCTCTGGCAAGAGGAAGGGGATCGAGTTGGTACCAGCTCTATAATTCCAGTAAACACGGTTAAACTCACTCTGGTCCTTCCTAGCAATGCACACTATCTACCGCTTCAAATTTTAGAGAATAAAATCGTGAACAAATTTGAGCAGTGTCCTAACTTTCAGCTGACTTCTAAAATGTCAACAGTGTTAAAGGTTTACCTGGATTGCCGCTCGGATGTCTGCACTCAGCATGAAGGAGAGTTTGAAATGGGCATTCATAATACAAACCCTAATCGACAACACCACAAACATCGTCACAATGAGGACGAAGCCATTTGCGAAGAAATCGCTGAAAGTCACGTAATGAGGCGGAAGCTGAAAGAAAGAAATTGAGGGAGGATGCATTTATATTCTACAAGAGTATGTACGGTATGTTTCTGTGTTCATCTCAGTTAGTGTTTGTGCACGTTCTCTGTAGAGTGAGTGGAGTAGTTGAGTTTTCGAGTGACAACAAACCAAGGCCTTCACGCAGCGTGAGTGGATTAAAATAGGGCAACGAGATGGCACGGGCGGGCAAGAACTACCTAAAATGTTTGTAAAAGGACTGGGTTCCAGTTCAAGTCCTTTTGAAATATTTGGACATTTTCGACAAACCGTTTGGTGCAAACGCTCAGATCTAGTCTCACGATCAAAAGCACTATGGGTGCACCCACGCAAAAAGGCAAGAAATATGTCCGCCGAGCTCTTTAATAAAAGTTATACACTCAAATATTCTATATTAGAGGGTCCTGAGAGCCATGGAATTGAAGAATTGTAGAAATAGGGCACTGAACCTCTAGCCTGGACTTTGGGCTTACAATTCTGAGCAAATTGGGTGCCATTGGGTCCGAAAGTGGCATTATTTGGCCGTTTTGCAAAGGGATAGTTTTTCAAAATGGCTACTTTTCTGGGCAGGGACATTTTCTTTATTTTAGGGGTGGTTTGCTTCTGGTGAAAATTTCTCGTAAATTCATTGGTCAACCCCCCAAACATTGAAAGAAAAATGAAAGGGGACATGTCGATCATCGTTTTGCTGTGCAGCCTGGAGACCTGTGAGAGTTGTTTTTTTTAAATAATTGTGAAGTATGGGGATTTATCATTGCTATATACGTGCCATGCCCTCTCCACAAAATTTAAGCTGGACACCCATTCCACTATCTCATTACGTTGATATATTTACCGCATGCAGTTGGAAACAGACCTCACCACAACATTGAGTTTGCGTGTGCATCACCTCACTGATTCGCTGGAACAATTTTTGACCCAATCACACCATACTCTGCAGTGCAATATACGTGTATTAGATTCCAGGCACAAACAGGGTTGCCGTAAATCAAAAGTCACTAGACCGTAGTGTCCTAAACAGAGACGGGAGCATTTAATAGACCTCGATGGTAGACCTTGTGAAAACCTTTTCGTTGTTGGTACACTTTGCTCAAGTATTTTTCATCACACAGGGAATCCGAAGAAGCATCCACCTGGAATAATTAATGCATGCAGTGTAAGGCTCGAAAACGAAAAGGTACTGTTTTGTATGTAAGCACGTTGTTTGGAGTGGGATAAACTTCAAACAAACGAAGATCCTTTCGTCTCTGTCTCTTAGTGGGGAGTCTGGGGCACAGTCTGAAGGGGCTGGGAAACAAGCAAGGAAAGAATTGGGCTAAATGATTGAACAACAAAGTAATTAAAGAACATGCGATGTGCTGAGTGGACTTACCAACTCGGAATCTGCTGGATAGCTGAGGGTAACAACATAGGACGTGAGAGCGCCGATGCACAAGGGACCTACAAGATTTAAGACATCAGCTGCTATCTTCAACAGAGCAGAGACCAGCATAACAGACCAGTAGGCATCAAAGTAGATCCTGAACATAGATGGTCTAGTGCCCTTTTTCTCAGCCCGAGCCTGTGGGTTCAATAAATTCAAACGCCCACAAAGTTTTGAATTCTAGCTCAGGGGTCATGGGATTTCAGACAGCACTGTTTTTTAAGCTTAAAGTATCTACAATTAAAACAAAATTCTACAAAAACAAAAAAAAAAGAATACCGGCTACGCTATTTTTTTTAATGTAGTTTGTGACCGGCGACACGAAGGTGTAAGATGGGCCAATGCTAAATATGTTTTAGCTTATTTTGTGAGCCCAAAATGGGACGAATGTTCTAATCCCCGCACATTCGAGACATGAATTAAAGATCTATGAAAGCTATTGACATCTGACGAAAAAATGGCTTGACAAATAAAAATTCAAAATGGAAAGTTCAAAACAAAAATTCCCCCGCTGGCTTTGTAGAAATGTTTAGGCTTACTAAAAAAATAAAAAAGAATTAGAAAGGCTGATATTTCATTAACGTGTCAATTCAGTCTTGACTATATCTGCAACGTCAAAGGTCAACTTCATCGGCGTTTTATCCCAGGGAATAGGGGCTACATATCCCCTTCCTATACTTTATGAACATTGCCCGCTTATACGGTTTCAATACGCAACCGCTCTTCAAGTTTTCATGGCGGGCAAGTCATCCCCCTCCCACAATCTGCCACCCCCCAGTTCAGGGCATAAATTTACACCACTGGGTCCACTGGTCAGTCTGGTCTCATTGATCTTGACTTCACCGTGACCGTGTTCCTACCACGATTGTTGTCACGATGGACTTAGGAAACGGGGTCGCGGATGAGATTCCTCCCAGTGAATTGACAAGTTTGTAATTGTAATTTGTTGTGTAACGCTCAATCTGAAAAAATGCATGGGAAGACGGCCTGGTTTTAAACCCTCGAATATGATATTGGCCCGCCTGCCCATCACCCAGACTATTCCAAAGCGATTTCTAATAATTTTAGAAAAAGTTGGACAGTTGTTGGGGTTTCATTTTCATACCTTTTTAATTCGTGATGTGGTGCACAGGGGTTTATTTTTGTCAAAACATACACATGGGCATTTTTTGGGAGGACGTTTGGGTGAAGACTGCTGGTGCCCAGATTTAGAAACTGGAGATGTTGTTTTCTTTTTACCTTTTCTCTGTCAAATGCTTCTTTGAATTTCCTGTGGTTGAAATTAGCTCGATGTCGTTCCGGAATGTCACCGAGGTCGTCTTGTTCCAGGGGTTTCTCGTAGCCTTTTATGAATATAAAATTCATCCACCAGAAGGTTGCGTTGGACACGATGTTGACGTAATCATTTAGGAATCGCATGTTGCTATTCTGAAGGTCCTCGGTGACCCTTTTCCAATTTCTGGGCCAAAGCACCTGCAAAAATAAGCGTCAATAGGGTAATGTCGAAGATCAGTGAGACGAAATGTTTTGACAGAGTTTATTTGATGAAGTGCATGTCTTCCAAGTCAACCATTTAAACTGCAAAACATCTGCTAAAAGGCAAAAAAAAAGTGTTTACGTTTTACTAGCAACACTGGGATGACATTCTTCTCTTCCATGTTGAAAGAAAATGAATTCCATTATAAATATTGCAACGGATGGATATGGGATACAATACCTAAGTTTCTAATGAAAGTTCACCCATCGATCATGCAAAATGAAGGTTCTGAGTTATTAAAGACAATATGAATAGGAAGCGTATGTTTACCCAGCAAAGGCAAATTTATACTGATTGATGCTTTCCTGGGCGCACGCGCAGTAGCTGGTTTTTCTGATTTTGGGGGACTTTTGACGGTTCTGGCGCTGGAAAGGGCTGATGGCTTTGTATTGTGATTGGCTACATTGTGTACAACCTGTGGCTACGAGGTTATCACTTTCTGTTAGGGAAGCCTTATTTAATTTTTTTGGTTCGCCAATGACAATGACTGGCACAGGCAAAGTGTCGGCTATGTGATGGCCTTGGAACAATCACAGTGGGGTAATTTATCTTCTCACTAAGTATCACAGATCACGTGTCTTTTGGTGATATAGTTCATTGGTTGTATTGATCAATTTTGGATGAACGAATAAAGTGTAGTGAGAATGTTTTCAGCAATGAGGAAGAAAAACAAAAAAAATCATTGTTAGCCGTCCGTTGTGTAACGCATTCAGTGAGCTCGCTCACCTGCCAGACATTTACCCACAGTAGCCTGCGTGTCGTTAGCAGTGACGTGACCCCGTGTGACATATTTCCTTCGCTAAAATCTGTGCAAAGCCATCAGCCATCAGTGTGCGACGAGCGAATTCTTACAACGCCAAATCTTAGTCTGGTTCTAATCCACCATTATATTAACAAGGCAGGGAATAAGACCATTTTATAATTTCGGACTTTTTTCCCCTTCACAAAAATCCTCCAGAGCAACAAATCATGGGACGGATGCAAAACCCTGTAAATATGTGTAGGAGTCAACTTTTAATTAACAAAAGAAGAACACTGTTTATTTTTAAGGACAATCGAAAACTGGCATTTGAACATCTGTCGTATGACCTCATGACGTACCCGCTATCCACTGCACCACAGACCCATCTCAAATACTATCGTAATTTAATCAGTTTCATGTAGGTCTATGTTATGTATACGCATCAAAGAGGGCGCTGTGTACTAAAATCGGCTAAAGGTTGCGGGCCAGTAAATATACGTAGGTCCAAAATTGCCTGCGCAAATTTTTGTAGGCTGTCAAATTCTCTGCTGTTGGAGCATTTCGTGGCACTTTAACTGTGTGATTTGTTAAATCACGGTGGATGAAATCCAGATACAGGAATGTCAGCTTGTATTTCTGAAAGTATCAAACCAAACGGTGCCCTCCAAATTGCTCTATTTTGCCATGGAGTGTAGGCATCAATTTCCAAAATGGCCATGGGCCTCCTGACTGTTTTTATGGGTGTTTTTCTCTGGAGAGAAATATCTTCAAAAGTCATCGGTCAAGCCACAGAAAATTGAAAGGAAAATGAAAGTTGAGGAAGTGAGCTTTAATTTGATATTTGTCTTGAACACCCGTGAAACTTCTGAGCATTTTTCCTGAATTTGTGAAGTGGGGATATTCATCACTCTTGTCTATAGCAATTTATTTACTGGTCTGAACCCCTTAATACTGTTTAGATAAATTTTTGCCGGTTACAGTTAGGATATAGGCCTATGTATCCAACACTGCCTACAGTACACTATCATATAAAATCCCTTCAGTTAGACAAATTGAAAATAAGTAGGCGGCGTTGATGCATTCATGCATTACAAAGTCAGACCAGAATATAAGGCCTACAAAGCAAAATATTCATTGAAATCTTCACATGTAAATCGAATTAAAGGACCACTTTATTTCTTTCAGTTGTCTGCATTCAATTATTCATTATTTACGAAAATACGAATAGTAATTAAAGCACTTCTACATGTAACTTCACCTTGGTTAATATCCACGTAATCTCTATTTTACAAAAGGAAGCATCAAAGTAAACATGATATGTTTACCTTTATTCTGATCAAATTCATCGCGTTTAGAAGAAGGACGAAGTACGCAATCACCATGAGAACGGTCACATCGAATCGTAGCACTGTGAAATTGGCAATGTTATGCTGCCTCAAGTTAACAAGGCGTAGCACTTCTCCCACCAGCGCCAAAATCCAGTAACACAGCAACGGGACAGACATGACCGGTAGCTGCCATTTCTCCATGTGATGGTAGTAAACCAGCGACATGAGCATGGCCACGAATGCAGCAGCGCTGGGGACGTAGTAGTGGGGCCGGGTCGAGTAGTGCCATACTCGGTACGTCTCATCCGTAAGAACCCCCTCACCAATGGCTGCTGCTAAAACGGCCAAAGATAAAATGCCCACCAGCCACTTGACAGAGTGCCCAGGATAGCACAGGAGGTAGTTCGTCTTGGGAAGGTCACGGTACTTGCAGCAGAAGCCCAGCAGAAATAAAGCCAGAGCAGAAAAGATGATGAATGCTAGGTGAGGTAGCACATCTAGCCCGTTGATGAAGCATGTGTTGCCGATCCATTCAGCCGAGAGGTCGACCAAAAGGTCAGAGTTGTTACTACCGCAGAACCACTGCCAGTCCTTGTTGTACATGTGGTTCAAGATGTACATGATTGCACAGCACTTCAGGGGGGAAACATGGCGTTTCACCCAGTAAACCCAGTGTTTAAAAACACGCTATGCAAATGTCAGCATCCGTTCTCTTTTGTCATAATCATCGCTGAAATATCTTTCATCCTTCCCCCATAAAGAAACTCTCTCACAGTCGCAGTTCGTCTTATTTATACCATGGAGCTATAAAAAGGCTCCATGTTTACATGTACATGTGCATACTGACCGCGAGGCCGTCGCGTATCCGCTGATGCACGACATGTACACGTACGTACTGTACGTGTACATGTACATGTACACACGGTCTGTAAGTAGAGGCAGTATCGCAACCGGAAAAGGGAACATTATGATAATTTATGCTGACATCATATTTGGGTCCTGGGTCACACAGCGTTACTGTGAACATAAATTATGCAGTATGTATCTGGGCAAAGTGTTGCAGTGCGGTGCATTATTACGCGCCGGTAATGTACAATACATTGGTCTGGGCATTTTTAACCTCTGAGTTCCATTGACAGAAACAGGCCATTTTAATCAAATTATTGTCGCGCACGATACAGTCAAACTGTGTGATGTTTTCTCCGGCTCTTTTTTGGCCCATTTCTCCCCAAACTAAAAATGTACAGGATGAATGCTCAAAAAAATCTGAATATGGGTAGTTTTGATTAAAAAAAATACCTGTTGGCCTGTCTTGAAGGCATGTTACAACCACCTTGATGCGGCATTTCAAGATCGGCGCGCCATTTTTGTTTTCAATTCTAGGCTGAGTGACGTCGTGAATTAATATGAATACACTGATGTAGACGGCTCAAGCGAAGCGGGTACGCTGATTAACTTCCCCGGAAAAGTCGGAAGAAAATGCAAAACGTGAGCACCACAGATTGTACAATGTACAAGACTACAACAGCCGAGTGATTCAGACGTGACCCTGGGCAGACAAGACCGAAGTAGAAGTCGCGAGCCGAGCGAAGTCTTATACGCTGATGATTTTAAGAACGTAAGACATAAGTTGATAGGACTAGTTTAAAACTGTAATCTGGGTTCGTATAGCGCCGGGGAGCTCTTATCTCTCGTAGAATTCGGTGGCCTTAATAAGATCCGCCACTAGAGGGACGCGGTGTAATTTCAAGTTGTGGACACAAACAAGGCTCTCGACGGAAGCTTGCTGTTTCAATAATTTATTGTACATCTTTCATTTCCAGATAAGTAGTGACCATTGTAACAAAGCTCCAGACAGAGATTCGGTATACGCAAGTTCAAATGATTATCTCCAACCATATGGAGGAAGGAGCCTATGGGTTACACAGATCCAGAGAGATCAATAGAGTACTACATTAACTTGCAGGGCGCCGTGAAAACTCCATGCTTCCTCTGAAATTAAGGCCTTCAAAACAAGCAGGAAAGACATGTTTATCGCTCGTTCATTTTGGATGATTTGGTGACCAATTTATATCATGCATCAAAAATGGCTGCTGCAACAATGTGCTTTTAGAAAGGGTAAACTCTAGTAGGTCAACAGAGGGCGCACTACAGGTTTTCCAGGGGCTGCAGTTACAGTTCGATTGAATAATTTTCTGCCTGGCGTTAGTAACAAGTCATTTGTTGCAATTCAAGTCAAGTCGTTTTTGCAAGTCCAAGTTGCAAGTCTAAAACCGGTAGTTACAAGTCAAATCACGAGTCACAAAAAATAGTGACTCAAGTCCAAGTCAAGTGCCTCGAGTCTACAACTCTGCCAATTTCTCCTTAATGTTTCCGTTCGTGTCTGCGTCCTCACGTCTTGCAGACCTTCTGCGTTACAAACGACCATGACGAAATCCGTCTAGTCCCGCCGTATCGATAACGTTTTCTGATGTGGTCTTTGCATCGTTTCACGCTTGCAATAGTTGGCTCTGCCACCTTAGAAATAAGAAATCGCAATTGACGCACGTACACTCGAGCCTCTCAAAATTTTCTCACAAAATGTGATTCACATTTTTGAACAGAACGACCGTCCCATAAACAATGTCTTCCTGACATGACACCACAGCCACAGCTCCCTCAGTTGTTGAGAAACGCATGGAAAATTGTTTGAAAAAGAGCACTTATCGATTAGAGAGGCAGGTCCCATTGACTTTACATTTAAGAAGCTTTGGTGCGTCTCCAGAGAAATCAGAGACCTGTCATATAAGTGCATTTATCATTTTTACCAACAAAATGTGCAAGATGAAACTTTATTATTTCTAACATTACACTGGCAGGTTTTGACACTCAGTTACATCATAGAAACTTGCCAGTGTAAATACAACTGTATGTTATTGATATTAATAACCTTTTTGAATAATTCCAGCCTTTTTAACGACGTGCTATGGTTTTTAAAGCTGATACATTTTCATTTCACTGACTTAGTCAACAAAAAAATGTGTCAATTATCAACCATTAATACTCACCAGTTTCATATTTTGTAATAAGGACTTACTTCATGAAACCTAAAATGCCTATGCTTGTGATATTTTAGGTAGTATGTTTTAATATGAATCCCATATATAACATTTTGAGCCCGAAGAAGAGTCTTAGACCACTTATGACCAGGCTTATCAAATTAAAACCACACGCTTCATCACTAATGCTTTAAGCTTGATAAATATGATGAACATGTGGGCGCAAAATGTTGCGCCTTCCAAATACCCGCATAATTTGGAAAAATGAGAGTGTCCTTGTTTATTGCATAGAGGAGAGTGAGACTGAGCTGAACAATATTAGTCTTCTAGATATACCAGAGATGGAAGTTCATGGCATAAGTGCTCGGACAAGTACACGACTGTATGTGCCTCTTTAATGTTGGATAACACGTTTAATAATCAAAGACCCGACAGATTCGTCGTAATTCATGAGGCGAATCCAAGGGTGCTCCGAGGTCGATGCTTCGAAAGTTTACGACGCTCGCAGAGACTCGAAACATCGTTTCAATCCACTGAGTCCCAGGTGTCCTGCTCCAAAGCAATACCTTTATGTCTCAGTAATCATTACGTATTTAAAACCATTCGGGATCATCAAGCTCAGCAGACATTCTGTCGACACGGAAATGAATACAAAACCAACCGCCGAGTAAATGTATTACACATTACATATACACATACACACATGTACAATATACGCCGTTGAAAGGTGTTAATAACAAAGCCAGTTCACTGCTCCTCTGCAAATGTCAACTGTACAGAATGCAAACATAAACTGCTTCGAGTGGTATATTTATTATTTATTTATTTATTTATTCATTATTTATATTGGGTAGCCCATTCAGATTAATTTTAAAAATCTGTTCTCCCATGAGTCCCAGTGTACAAAATAGTTGACAACACTAATGGGGTTGATGAAATAAATAATAATTACATATATACACTAGACTTGAAAACATAAAACACGAAAAAGGGCATGGACCAAAAAGATCACATACACATTATTTTACATAAATTAAATAATGTTAGAGAGCTCCTTTGCTAAATCTTTTGCACTAATGGACAGGTGATTTTTAATTGCAGACGGCAAACTATTCTAAGCTTGTGTACCTTGAAAATGAAAAAGTTCTTCTTCCATATTGAGTTCTGGGAATAGGAAAAATTACATTTCCAGTAGTACTATTTCTGGTCTGATAGGAATGGTGTTCATTAACATAAGTAAAGACATTACTTAAGTATTACTGGTACCATCAAAACCAAGTGGCGTTGCCGTCTTGATTGCAAATTATCCTATTTCAAACTACTTAAAACGACTGAAGGTGTTTCTTGATGAATCATTTTGTAATAACTCTCCCAGCTCGACTTAACAAAATATCAAGCTGTCTGACCACAGACTTAATTAGGAGCACTGCCCTATACTAGGTCACAATAATCAGAATGAGAGTAGAGAAGCGTGTTTTAGGGGTCACCATATTTTATTTGGCACGCTGCCCAGCCCTTAGAGATGTATAACAAATGCCCGGGAAGAAAGTGCCGTGGGCATGGGAGCGCAAGAGACTTATTCCTTTCCAGTGTGGGTACCACAGTGTGAGTATCTTGGGGTTAACGTGTCATCACAAAACTAGCTTTTTACGCTGATTTGTAGTCTCTTTATCTTCGCAATCTATGATTCCATAGTATGTGACCAGACCTGATGAATATTGGGGTCGTAGCAGAACGCGGAATGAATGATTTGGAGTGAAAATTCACTGTAGAAGTTTCACGTGAAGCGTATTGTTCACTGTACATGTACGTGTACATTATACTTCAGCTGTTTGTTTGTGTGGCGACTCGTATGGTTTACACTAGGGTTTCGATCTTTACTCCACACACCATTCATTATCTGGTGCTGTCTGGAAGGCCATGTCCATGGTCGCACACCGGTGTGGCATTCGGGAAATTTGGGGAATTCGGGGAATATGGAGTCACATGTAAAGAAAATAAAGGAATAACAATAGATTTAGGTAAATTGTTATTAATTGTAATCAAACCTAGAGAGGGCCCATTTGAACCCTAAAAAGTTGACGTGTAAATAAAACTCTGCATAATTGAGACAGTTACATTGGGACTCTTTCTTTGCCTTGGCGGCCTTAAACGAATAATTTAAGCGGACCTCCTTAATAGATTACCAGTCATTACATGAGGAAAAATAATTAATAAACCCGTAAGAAGATCTAGTGTTTTGACTGGAAGGATATTTTTCCCAGTGTACCGTATAGCCCTCTCCGTTTTGAAACTACGGTGGCTAACCATGTGACCATTTAAGGTCACAATCAAAGTAAATACCAAGATATATGATGGATGTAACTTTCTCAGAAGAAACATTATCTTCACTGATGTCAATAGACGAAGGTTGCTGACATCTGGCAAATTTCTCAGAAGACCTGATAGTTTTAGATTTATTTACATTTAAGAATATCGATGATCATGCAACCAGTTTTACTCCAACCGTACCAGTATTTAAGTGAGATTGTATTTCATCAATGTCCATTTTGGTTTTAAAAACAGCCGTATCGTCAGCATACAATGCAACAATGGAAATTTAACTGCAAAATGTAAATTAAAAATAACAGAGGACCCAAAATAGTACCCTGGGAACACCAAACTGAATCGATTCAGAGATCCAGCATAGAATGTTGTCAATTTTAGTTATTTGTTTCCTATCAGTAATATATCACTTAAACCTTCAATTTAATTTCTGAAGCAATATTGTATGATTCACGATGTCAAATGCCTTATGTAAATCAAGGAAAACAAAACGCACAAATTTACCAGAATCAAATTCTTCATTGAACAATTAAAACGTCAATTGTAGTAAACTAGCCGCCTGCTTAGGTGATCCATGGATAAAATTGAATGATCCGTTGATAACCTCAGGTTGCTAGTATTATTGCAACACTCGATAAAGCAGTCAATATTTGTTTATATAACACGCCTACCACAGATTCTGGTCGATTTAAGCAGAAATTGGGACAGTCAAGGCAATTTTATGCAAAAAAAGAAGGGATTAAATTATACCGCTGCTCAAAGTATCTTTTTAAAACAAACGTGGGACGTACATTGAAGTAAAATGCCGCAAGGGAGTAAAACTAGGATCATAATGATGCGACAATAATGCATTGTGCATAAATTGTGGTGCGATGCTTGTTGCGGTACCGGCCCCACCATTAAACTGCCTGTGGGTTGTGGGCTTTTGATATAATTACAATTATGAACTTCAATTTGCATTTAATTCATTAGTTCATCGAGAGAGCAACATCTGACACCAAGGCTTTCCAGGGTCACTCTGAACGACTCCGACAGTTGGTCTTCAGACGTCCCCCACGGATACTCGATCCTATTGATGGACGCTTCTGCATTTTCGTGTAGTTTCATTATTCAAATTGCGTTTTGGTGTGACAATGAATGGTACTCCTGTCTGAACAGATTCTACCATGTACAGTACCATGCACATCTTATGAAGACGTACATGCTTTTTTAATTGCGAATTTCTAGCCTCAGTACAAGAAGTCGTATTTCCATTTCTTTTGAACAGTTCCCTGTTTTCAAATTCATACGATTAAGAGCCAGAATGTTTTTTGCGGATTCAGGGGCCAGAATTGTATACTGAAGAGTAGCTTTCACAGCACATTGGTAGTAGGTATCTCCCTGCTAAAAGCCCCCCCCCCTCGACAAACTCTGAACTATGAGTTATCAGAATGTTTAAAGTATTCAGAAACCAAGTGTACACGGAGGTCATGCCATGAATTTTGCTTGTTATTAATTTGAAGCATTAATCTGGTTCGTGACAGCATTGAACACGCCCACACACTATACCGACTACTTGCGCCGATTGACTGCATAAGCCTTTCTGTGGTTTTTACGATTCCTTAACGGCGTGCACTTATGGCAACTTCATCCTTCTTCAGCCAATCAGCCCACCGGATGGCTCCACTGCAACGTTGTATTGGGCTAGATTTATAAGGTAAAACAGTGCCGCGTATACAAACGAGCTGGATAAGGCCAGTAAACATTCCTTTCCTGATGCATCTGACGTCATAATAGACCTACATCCCCGAATGTTATTGTCCAACCGATGTTGAAGTTCATGTGCACTTCACTCTCACGATGTTGACCGCCGAAAATCTCCATTGCCCTAGTCCTAATCCCTGTGGATGGCATGACACCAAAACAGAGCCTACCAGCGACGTAAGTCAGTGGGAACGTTTTCAAAATAAAGCCCCCAAAATGTTACTGGATTATAAACCAATCCAAAGAAATCTCGAACGAAACGTCATCATTTTGTGCAAAACGTAAAATATCGGGTTGATCAAACGAGGCTCTTATTCAAAAGGTTTATCGCCAGGATTGATCCACTAGAGGTTGGAACTTGGCCATACCAAGCATCTTGATTTTTATTCGTCCATGAAAAGAACTCTGTGCGGCTGCTTCCTCGTGCGTTTCTGTGAGGGACAAAGCCTGAACAGTTGTGGTTGCCTGCATAATGTACGAGGCTCATGTGCTACATGTAAACACATAGCTAGCGCGGAGCGCGACTGTTCATTCCACGGTCGACAGTCGCGCCTACGGCTTATACTCTTGCAGATGACCTGAGTAGATGTTGGCGGGTATAATTTTCTAACAATGCCAGTTTACTTATATTCCTTCCCAGTTTACATATATTCCTTCGCATGGTGCTACGGCAAGCCTTTCCACCTACTGCTGTCTTTCTCACCATGAATAGCCTGAAATTTCATCCAATGCCAGTTTAACGTCATCTCCCACGGACACCAATGAAACCC